TCTAAATTGTTTAACCAAATAAACACTCATGTCAACTATCTGTTGAGGACTCCTTGGTTGAAATGGCCACAGTATTGGCTTTTTTTAACGACTACATCTTTGTTTTCATACAGCTCCATCAGCAGCATTTGTTCTGCGGCGGAAAGAAACACCGCTCTCATTTTACAGGCTTTCCAACTCATCTGGTCGATCTATCGTTCATCTATTTATTTGGGCTTTTTAAATATCGCGGGTGTGCGCACTAAGTGAGACTATGCAAGTCTGTCTTGAATGAGCCTTGATTAGTTAAAACTGAACTGTGTTCATGGAACAACATGAGGCTAAGTTTAGAGATGGAGCTAGGTTGAGTCAGACTTTTTCGGTAAAGTCTGCCTTTCTTTAGCTACTTTCATGGAATACCCCCCCGGTCTCGATACGGAGTTTACGAAATGTTTCGAAATATCAGTCACGTGACAAATCAATGCGTGTTGTGTGTTTGTGGCGTTGTTAGTTTTAGCGAGTAGTTTGGCAATTATTTTTTACTTGAAATCCAATTGGTATAGTACTTCCTGTCTCCTGAGCCTGAGTTTGTCCACATTCAATTTGATGTTCCTCTCTCTGCATCTTCCCAGAAAGAGTCTCAGTTTACTGTCATGATCTGTCACAGCTTCCTCAACAGTCAAACCTTCTCCAGTGATCAGTATATCATCGGCAATGATGTAAGTGCAAGGTACGTTTTCCAACGCTTGCATCAGTTTGCGCTGAAACACCTCTGGCACTGGGCTGATCCCCATCAGCATTCTCAGCCAACGAAAACGACCAAATGGTGTTGCGAATGTGGTGAAATGACTCGACTCTTCAATGAGCTTCACATGCCAAAAGCCATGTTTCACATCACACACTGTGAAGACTTTGGCTTTCGAAACATCAGATAAGACATCATCAATAGTTGGTAATGGAAAATGACTGCGCTTCAAAGCTTTGGTCAGTGGTCTTGGATCAATACATATCCTGGGTTTGCCATTTGGTTTTTTCACAGTCACCATGCCACTGATCCATTCAGTACTCCATTCCACAAGTGCTATTATTTTTCTGTCTGCGAGACTCATCAGTTCCTCTTTCAGTGGTTTCATCATTGCCACTGGGACCTTGCGTTTAGGGAGTTTGACAGGCTGCACTGTTGGGTCAATTTCCAGCTTATATTCTCCTTCTAAGCAACCATCTCCCGTAAACACATCTTGAAACTTAGCTTTTATCTCCTCCAACAACCAAGTACTTTTCTCAGAAGTCGCGGTTGTAACTGAGATGTCCAAAGTGTATATGTTGTCATATTCGACTTGAATCAGCTTCATCGCTTCACTCGCAGTTCTGCCCAGTAAAAGTGTTTTACAGTCCTCTCCTACTACTTGGAACTCTACTTTTTGTTGTTTCTTGGATTTATCAGCTTGACCTTGCATGTCACTAATGGACAGTCTTGACTTATTGTACATCACGAGAACCTTGTCTGTGTGTTACATTTTTACATCCGGGTTCAACAGGTTGATAGGAATAACATTGCAAGTTGCTCCACAGTCAATCTGAAACTTAACCAGATTGTTGCCAATCATCATGCCTGCAAACAGTTGTTCTTGTTTTTTCCTGTCTGCTTCTTTAATCTGGTTCACTTTTTCCGTGCTCTGTGTTACAGCCGTGACAGTCATTATGTCCTCTCCAGAATCCGAGTCCTGCTCTGCCACTGTGTGAACTTTCTGTCTGTGTTCACTCTGTCTAGTTTTACTTCTGCACATTATGGCAAAATGGTTTCCTTTTCCACATTTTTTGCAGCTCATTCCATAGGCTGGGCATTTTGATTTGCATCTTTCATGTGTTCTTCCACAATATTTGCAGGATTTCCCCATATCTTGTCCTTTTCTTTCTTTCTGTTTAATTACATACAACTCTTCTAAATCATGTCCTTCAATGGTTCTGTTGTATTCTTTAGAAACCTCCATTGCTCTGCAAATATCCAGACATTTGTCTAAGGTGAGGTTCTCTTCTCTGAGTAACCATTCTCTCCAACTGGAGTTGCATGTGCCACAGACTACTCTGTCTCTGATCAGGGAGTCTTTTAGCTGTTCAAAGTTGCAGGTGCTCGCCAGCATCTTCAAGTCCATAACATACTTATCAACAGTTTCTCCAGGAGCCTGATTACGTGCAAAAAATCTGTATTGCTCGACAGTTTTATTAACTTTAGGATTACAGTGTTCATCAATTTTTCTCATCAGGGCGCTTACTGTTACTCTTGCTTCAGATCCGATCAGTATTGCGCAGAGCTCTCCTCCGTTTTCCCCGATAAGATAGTAAAACAGCTTTAATCTTGCCTTTTCCTATGTGTCTGGCAGAGCTAGTTCCGTGTGGAGTGAAAACTCTTCTTTCCATGTCTTCCACACTTTAGACAGGTTATTTGAATCCATATTCCACGGTGCGGGCGGCTTTAATCCCTGCATTCTATCTACTGCAGGGCATTCCTCTTCTGCGTCTCACCTGGCATGTCGAGCCGTTAGCTCATCCGAGACTAGTTAGCCTAGCTGCTACGGTACTTTCTCCTCCGCTCCTCTTAGCTAAATCGTTGGGGAGTTCGTTTGAGACCCCGCTGCCACCATGTTTCATCTTGTTCTTCTTACAAACTACACAAGATGGTCCGTTGAACTTTATCCCCATCACCGGGAATCTTTATTTAACTTTTACTCTCAGCTGCAGCAGTTACATGTTTTCTCATCACATGCTCAGATGTCACTTTCCCCATCACACTGGTGTTACACTCTAAAACCTCCGGGCAAAACACATAACTAGCTATATGCAATTCCTATTGCTACAAAACCTAGATAGGATGAGTATTCTAACCTCAGTACCTAATTAATTACTATGCACATTAAATACTCGGATGGTATGTAAATACAGAAATTGTGTTTTAACAATACACAACCATGGGAACAAATAATCTCTATAAATGATATAAGACCCAATTTAGGTTTTTATTGACTGTATTGATTGGGGGAAATTCTGGTGCATACAAACATGCAAATAATGCAGATAATGCCAAACAGACAAGGTACAAAGACTGTACAAATGGTGTGAGCAAAGTAAACATATTGCAGCAGATTTAAACAGTACATAGTACACAAATGGATGTAAAATCTTGAGCAGAATGTGAGACTAAACGTGAATATTTAAACATAAGAATAATAATCATCTGCAAATAAATTATGTGCAGTTAGCACACAAGGCACCGGATTGTATTATAACAAGAGGATGCTTCCTGACGAATTATGGCTATGGATGGGGAATGTAATGTCTGGAGAAATTGTGATGTCAGTCACCAGTTGTCTGACGGCTTCGGGCAGTGATAATCCCCAGTAGCATTTTTAGCACAGCATGGTGGAATGAGCCAGTGGCTAAATATGCTCCATTATAGAGGCCACTGATGTGGATGTGCAGACTTGTCCAAAATATTGCTAACATCCTCTTCTCTGCTTCTGATATTAGTGCAACAGAGGTTTCACGACCATACACAAGAGACATTAATAATCTAACGTGTTTATGATTCGTACTAGTTGAAATACGGTTGGCAAAAAGTTATCACACACTAATTGCAGATATAAGCTACCCATGACAGAATATAAAAATAATCAAAAAGAGATTTTATTGTATTATGCACATTTTTGACTGTTCAAGCTTCGTGACATTCAAAACTTGCAGCAATAGGTTTTTATTCTGCCATATTTGCTACAGCTGCAGTTCCGGTTTTTGCCAGCAGGCTGTGCACAACTAGTGTTTCAAAACTTTTCAAACAGTTTCGAAATTGTTTTGATGATTCGGAATTGCCATCTCTACAACGCTAACAAACAATGACCCACTAGGGAACTGAACTAAGGCAGGAACTTAAGTAGAGGGATAATGAGAATAATGCAGGACAGGTGAGAACAATTAACCAATCGGGGAGGGTGCAATACAACGAGCAGTCAGGGCTGAATGCACAAGCACTGGTACAAGAAAACAGGAAACAGGTAAAACTAATAATTAAATCAAGGAACTGAGATCAACAGGGAAAATAAGAAACTGACAGAGAAATAAAGAAACATAATCTTACACAGGGAAAATAATGAAGGCAGGTAAAACAAAACCAAGGCACAAAGCAAAAAACCAAAACAGAGTATAAGTCACCAAAAACACAAGAAACGATGCAAATGAAACACTACGGAACAAAATACAAAAAACAGAGAAGGCAAGATTAGAATGCATGACAGAGGGGTTTACAGGTAGCCGCGTGCTCAGCTCATTGAGTTCTGAGGTCACTAAAGACTGACTACGGGGAGGACAGGATGGCCAGCGACACCTGCTGGCCAAACGGGGAGAAGACACGTAAGACTGGGACAAACCGGTGCTGGCCCTGACAGACTGTTATTGATAGGTCGAACACAAAAACAAATTTTCCAACTTATTAAATGTTCAATACATGTATAGTAGTGTTTGTTTTTTTACATTTAATGTAAAATTATGGTGTTAAGGAAATTATAAGGTACACATATCAATCATGGGTCAAAGCAGCGCTTAATATGGCTGAGGCAGAAGGAATAAAACAAAGAGCCGTTTGGGAGCCGGAAGAGCCAGCTGTTCTTGGTGAGCTGAGCCAAATGATCCGGCTCTAAAAAGAGGCGAAATTCCCCTCACTAGCGCAGACTGAGGAGATGTTCGGTGTCACAGCCAGTTTGGGGAGATTACGGGTACTGTCTTAGGACAATACTAACAAATCTCAAAAAAAGATTTCATATATTTCTACAGAAGTTCCCAGAGTATAATTTTTATTGAAGAATGTAGTCATCTTTAAACCCAAACCAGCCCCTTTTTAAATACACACGCACACACACACGCATACACACACATACACACACACACACACACACACATCACAATAATTGTGCGAATGGTATCATGTAGTAGTAATAATGGTATTAAGAATAAAAACATATAAACAAACTTACATTTCTGGATCCCTGGCCTGGTCCTACACTCTGCACTGTGATCCACACTATATCAGAAGCAGAATGACATAGTACTGCTGTATCCATTTATTTAATTGTTGTATTTTCTCCACATAAATGAGTGTATCCTCCTGAGACCCCACCCACTCATTTATGTCCATTGTAGTGGACATTTTATTTTTGCATCTATCTTTTCACTGATGTTAGAAAATGTTATTCCTGTTGTGTACTAAAGAGGACATGCTGTGAAATTAAAAATAAAAATACATTTAAAAAAATCTAAATTGCAAGATGTCTTATTTCCTCCAAAGACAAATAACTTAAATTGAAGGACACTTTTTTCCTTGGGTCTCAGGAGGATATAGCAGGAGCAGACACACATTCTGTACTCACTTTAGTCTCTCTAGTTTACAGCTGTGATCCTTCAGTAGGGCGGAGAGCAGCTTCACTCCTGAGTCTCCTGGGTGATTGTAGCTCAGGTCCAGCTCTCTCAGGTTTGAGGGGTTTGACCTCAGAGATAAAGCCAGGGAAGAACAGCCGTTTTCTGTGCCTCTACAGCCTGCCAGCCTGCAGAGAGACAGACAATCTCTCTCCA